ATTGAGGGTTTATGCCAGGAGCCATAGCTTCAGACTAATTCCTAAAAATTAGAAAAATTGCATGAAACGTTCCTTTGTACAGAACACTCTTCCTGAAAAGGATGCTTTCCATGCCAACCTTATGACCTGGGAGTGAGGTTTTTTACCAAATAAACTTCAGGGGCTTTGAGGCAACATCAGGGCTTCCCAACAGAGTTGGGAGATAATTTAAGGGCAGTGAGAAAACATGGATTTCACTAGAGAGTGAATGGGAGTTGCAGGTGTGACCTCATTGCTCAAGGTGCCCAGAGCAGACATTTCAGGAAAGGCTGGATGCTTGTCTCGGTCCCACCCTGACGCTCATCACTGGCAGGATCATTCTCAGAGCTGCAAACCTCAGAGAGCTTGCCAGCCAACTGTCTTGGATGAAGACATTCCTTGGGAGTGGGCTCTAGAATTTCTAGGCTGAAGGCAGAAAAAAAACAAAAAGAACTTTTAAAGGAAAAAAGTTTAAAGTCAGTGGGGGGTGACCATGGCACCCAAACAAAGTGACAGGACTCAGAAAGGACATTGAAAACAGCCAGAAGGGGCAAATGGGACTGCCGGGGAAGGGACAGCTGGACAACAGAATAACAAAAAAGCTGACTCAAAAAAACGAAAGGTCTGGGTAATTATTAATGGATTAAATTACTTGGAATATGCAAAGAACTGAAGGTTAGAAAAACAAAAATGAGGCTGGGCACGGCTCATACCTGTAATGCCAGCACTCTGGGAGGCCCAGGCCAGAGGCTCCCTTGAGCTCAGGAGTTCTAGACCAGCCTGAGCGAGAGCGAGACCTCGTCTCTAATGAAAATAGAAAAACTAGTCAGGCCTCTTGTTGGGCGCTTGTAGTCGCAGCTATTCAGGAGGCTGAGTTGGGAGGATCGCTTGAGATCAGAAGTTTGAGGTTGCTGCGAGCTATGATGACGCCACAGCATTCTGTCCTGGGCAACAGAGTGAGATCCTGTCTCAGACCAACAGGGAAAAACGAACGTGAAAATTACAACGAAATTTCTTTAAATCTGTAAAAGGAGACCAAAAGAAACTACATAACTGTATTCCTGAAATGCTTTCCTGGTTAGAACTTTCAATGAGATTTTTATTCCCAAATCAAAGTAAAATGTACGACTGAATGGCAGAGTGCTTGCCTCAAAACACACAGAAATAAAACATGAAAGAGGATGGTAGAAATCACTGTAATGGTACCAACTGTCACAAGGAAGACCCGATACATTCCCCTGGTAGAGAGTAAAAAACTTCAAGTTAGATTAAAAGCAATTTTCAGTCACCTGCTGTTTATGAGACAGACACAGTCAGTAAATATTTGGGGGCACACACTGTGTTTCAGACACATCATTTACCCGGACAAATACTGGGTGGTTGCACAATGATGAAGATGGCCAAGTTCCCTCTCTGGTGGGACATACAGTCTGGTGGCAGATGAAACAGGACAGCCACAAATAGGTTATGGGGTGTAGACCACTCAGACGGAAGCCGTGGGGAGGAAACATGGGGACCTCCACTCTACAAAGTGACATTGAAGGACTGTGTTTTAATAAGACAGATGATGTGAAGCAAGTTACCAAAGTCCCCATGACCAGCAGAGTGGCATCATACAAAAAGAGATCGTTTAGACCAAGAGGGGAAAATGGACGGGAGAGTGACCAGGGTGGGAAATGGTACACTCTTCCTTACCTTCCTGGGTCAGATCAAGTAGCCAAAAATAAATAAGGACATGACCTAAGCGACGAGGAAGTTAGAATGAATAGACACAGC